GAGAGAGAGAGAGAGAGAGAGAGAGAGAGAGAGAGAGAGAGAGAGAGAGAGAAAGGGAGGGAGGGAGGGAGGGAGAGAGAGGGAGAGAATCATAATGGCCTTAAAGTTGTTACCTAGCATTTCCGATTTCTTAAAACAGCCACCCCCATCCTTCACACTATACATGGTACATGTGGTTCTGGGTTACGTGGGCCAATAGGAAAATCTCAAAATCAAAATGAGAAATTCAGACTAACCATAGGCCATTTTGCATCCCTGTGATTTTTCATCCTTGTTTAATATAAATAAAATATAAGTGTGTGCCATGTCCTTTTGTAACCATGGGAACTTCTGAAGGGAGAAAAATGCAGGGGCCCCTTCATGAGGAAAACAGTTATACTGAGTTAGAGGACAGCAATCTTCCCCTTGACTTCATCCTCCTCTCCGAGTGGATAAACTTCTGAAGGGCAGCCACCTTTTCCTCCTCCTAGCCATGGCTTAATATGACATTAGTTTGTAATTTTAAAAAAACAAGCGTTATTAAGTTAGGGGTGCTGGAAATTTATGTGCCTTTTCTCTGGAGGAATCATTCTGATGTAGTTTAGACATACAAGATACTCCTTGTTTTATTCCTGTATCTGGATATTTAAAATCAGCTCAGGTTTGTTACGCTTATATGGGTAGAATTTTCCTTCTAGATTTCTCTTTTGAAACTCCAAATAAACACATTCCTGCAGGTCAGAGAAAGTGTTTGATAAAAGCCTAGAATTATGACTTTGCAAATGTGGATTGTTCAGTCACTTCTTGGTTTAGGAAAACTGGTTGATGACCAGCTGGGGCCCTCATAAGTTGCCATATGATGAGATTATCTTGTCCTGATTAACTCTGCTTGATATAACTAAGTTATACTGAAAGTTGGAGAAAGGATGGCCGTTATTAAAACAAAACAAACCCAAGGCAGCAATACCAAATTATCACCACTAGCTAAGAACTCTTTCCTAGTAGGATTGGATTTCCAAATACGTGCTTGTGTTTAAGCTTTCAGATTATCCTTTTGTTGTCCTTTCTGTTCAATACAGATAGCTAAAAGAAGCAGACACTGATTAAATGGTAGAGGGAAGAAGGTAAAATGCAATTGGAAGGAAAGGAAAAAAGTAGGGAGAAGCTGGCCTAAGAATGTGATTCTGAAGAGCAGACAGGATTTTGGCAATCCTTGCTAAGCACATCTATTGGAGGAGAGCCATAAAGTTTTACAAAAATAATTATGGTAAATTAAAAGGAAATTAGATATTGGATCTCAGACTAGGACTGCCATAATACAGTTCTCTGATTCATATACCAGATGTTCTGCCAGTGAACTATTATCTGGGCATTGGAAAGAGTTAGCTTTTTGCGAAATTCTCCTGGAGTAGTCAAGGATTTTATGTATATGAAGTGGTATTGTTTGGGCTTATCACCATTGCCCAAAGTTTGTTGAGCTTTTCACCAACCACACAGCAATGGCCTCCTATTTCCATTTTTTTCCATTTATGAGGTGGACTTGGTTGGACATGATTAATGTCAGTTGAGGATTCATAAATTATCCTGAAGTTTATTCAGTGCCTTTCCTCAATGGGGCTTAAAGCAGAGCACATAAATTTTATCTTATTTAGCCCTGGAACGTCACTAAGAAGCAGGTAGGAACTATGGCTTGCCACACACGTTATGCTCATGCCAGAGAAGTGGGGAGGTTTGAAATCGCTTGTCAAGTATCCAGAGTTATGAAAGGCAGTCTTTGTTCTTTGGGCTGCTGACCTTGGCATTAACCTTCACCCCTTAGATTACTGATTTCTAAATACATTTACTGCATCGGTATTTCTATAACCTTAGCATTTGATAGGCTTCTTCCTTGATATTTTTAGCATAATGTCTCATTTGCATATTAAATTATGGAAAAATATATAATCATTTCATGCAACAATGTTCTCATTGCTAGTGGCAGTGTCTCACTGGTTTAAAGAAAGGTGTTCTTGGATTATGCATTTTATATCTAAATGGTTATTGTATTTTCTTCCCCTACTTGTGAAACAATGTGAACAATCATTTTAAGGACAATAAAAAGTTGAAAGCTTTCTGTTTCCTCTTTTTAAAAAATATATATTAAAACCTATCACATCTATTAACATATTAAGTTCTGTTTTAGACAATGATCCTTGCCCAAAAAGTACACAAAAGCACTTAGTAGACTAGGTTTCTTGACTTGGGAAAGAGGGATTTGCATGCAGTAAGTTTCTCAGTAAACAATGAGAGATTTGTGAGGTGGTCATTATATTTTCTTCTAGGATATAAGTCAGCAGGTATGGTTTATTGCTTATGCAATAATATTCCTATTCAAGAAAAGAGAGGCTCCTGAGGAGATTTATCAACCACAATAGGGCTGATCTTACAATGGTGACAATGAACGTTACAGTTGCTATCAAAGCAAAGAATCTCGATATGCTAGCTCTTTTTTTTTTAAACAATCTAGTCAATTTATAGTCACTCATTCAGCACACAAAAACTGAGTGCCCATTATATTTAAATCACTGAACTGGCTGTATTTAGGCGGGTTATTTGCAATCTGTGGCCTCAATGAACAGCCTGGTCTAGCATGGGAGATAGATGTGTAAGCTGTTACAACCACCCTACTTTGGTGACTAGTGTGATGATGGATACACAAGGATATCAGGTTGTGGTTTGGTGCACAGAGAAACAATTATTCACCTCTCTTCCGGTGGCTACTATTGGTGCTCTGTCTGCCCAGGTCCCAGCAAATCTCTTTTACTGGGCACCCTAACTTTACCGTCTGTGTGCTTTTCTTTCTTTCTTTCTTTCTTTCTTTTTTTGAGAATTTTTATAAGTTTTTTTTTTTGAGCCAAACTGACGACACATGCTGGGGAGCAAGATTGCAAAGGCTCCCTGCATGCTTTTCTTTCTAATTAGCTGTGGCTCTCAGGGATGGCTGCCCTCATGCTATCGGGGCCTGTTTACCCCATGTACTTTCAGAAAGCTGTAAGTGCTTGGGAATTTCTATCCCCTGGTGACCTCTGGACGATAGCTTAGTGGTGCAGGACAGTGAAAGCCTCACTGCTTTTCCCGAGTCCAGACAAATGCAGAGGCATACCATAGAATTCATACTACTCTATGGGGACATTTAGGGGTTAGGCTGGCAGTACAAGTAGAGTGCCCTGTGATTATTTTAAAGATATTTCTGGCATGGATCTGTTCTAAAGATCTAGAAAAGTGTGCACTGGTTTGTAGTAGGTGTGCCATAGTACCCATGTAGAGGACATAGACATCAGATTGGATACAAAGTTGGTGGGTAGTAAGTGGCTGGGTATGGCCACTTACCGACCCTAGGGAGTTTACTCTGGTTTCTGAGCCAATCCTTGAAATAAGAATGTTTGTGTGTAGAGTAGTGGCAGAAGGACAGATGCATAGAAATGACAGAGTTTACGAGTGATCTCTGGGGCATGGACAGGAAGGAGGGGCTTTGGGGGAATGAAGTCAAGAAGTCTAGAATCTTTCTTGCTATGGTCTATGTGATAGATTTTATGAGAACCAAGAGGTATTGATTGAGTCTGCTTTGAAGTGTGCGGGCGCGCGTGCGCGCACAGACACACACACACACACACACACAAGGTCTGACAATGAAGTTTGTGAACTTGTTGCAATGATGTTTTTAACCTTTTTTTGATATGAAATGGATTGTTCACTATGAATTTGTACTGACTGGACAAACAGTGAACCAAATTTACTATTTGGAAGTGCTGAAAAGGCTGCATAAGTTAGGCGACCTGAACTTTTCATCAACAATTCATGGCTCTTGCATCATGACAATGCACCAGTTCACACGGCACTGTCTGTGAGGGAGTTTTTAGCTAATAAACAAATAACTATTGGAACATGCCCCCTACTCACCTGATCTGGCCCCCAATGACTTCATTCTTTACCCGAAGATCAAGGAACTATTGAACACATTTTGATGACATTCAGGACATACGATGACAGCTCCAATTGCCATTCCAGAAAGAGTTCCAAAATTGCTTTGAAGAGGGGACTAGGTGCTGGCATTGGTGCACGCTTCCCAAGAGGAGTACTTCGAAGGTGACCATAGTGATATTCAGCAACGAGGTATGTAGCAATTTTTCTAGGATGAGTTTGCGAACTTAATTGTCTGACCTTGTGTGTGTGTAGCTCAGTCATGTGGGCAAGCCTACTGTAGGGGAGGGTAGGATATATAGTCTAGCTGTGTGCCCAGAAAGAAGAGGAAATGAATTTGGCAATATGCTAGCAATCCCAGCCACACCTTCTAAAGTGAAATATGAGGCAGTAACTTTGAGCTCTTAAGGATTAAGGAAATTGCTTTTGAGCATAGCACAATGAGAATGGAAAATGCCATTGGTAGCCTGCAGTTTATTCTGTAGGCGCCTTTTTAATTAACAGCTTAATTGGATAATTTAATCCCCTTTAGAATTGGAGATATGAAAATGAAAATGAGATACTCCCTGTGATCTGACAAAACCATGTTTTAATAAACGCACCAAAGTGAGCCCAGAAATGAGCGCCGCAGAAGCATTGCCATAATTTGTGATCAGTGAAAGAAAACCTGATCTATAATTTTAATTATTTCTAAATGGTTTAGATACATGTTTCATTTGAATGTGTATTTTGTTTAGTTAATTGCCTCAATTAGGAAGATAACTGAATATAAGATTCTGTGGCTGTGCCATGGATTTATAATATTCTAAGCTTTTAAAATATATCCCATTGAGATAGTAAATAAAATATCCTATGAAATAAAATATTGTGTCGTATCTTCTAGTATTCTTAAGAATTTTTATGAAAATTGTTTTTACTTCTCCATTGATTATGAGATGAGAAATTCTACTCGTCATATTCTTATTTTATGGTTTCTCCACTTGAAAGAGAAATTGAAGCTCAAAGTTCAGTAAACAAAAGATGAGTGTCCATGTACAAG